ACTGTAGTTAGGTTTGACGTGTAAACACCACGACAGAGACGTTGTGAAGACAAAAAAAAAAAAAAAAAAAAAAAARAGTTGCTCCGCCATTACTAAATATTGCTAGCAAGAAAAAAAAATCCTTATTTCTGCTCCACCTTTACTAAATATATTGCTAGCCAGCAAAAAAAATCCTTATTTCTCCCCCCTTTATTTCTCTCCCCTTATTTCTCCCCCCTTATTTCTCCCCCTTTATTGAGAGTTGCTCCCGCTTGAGTTATATGCGTACCGTCGCTAACATGAAATTTATAACATAATAATACTGTAATATGACCGAGAAAAAAAGTGACTTATAAGATCGACGTGTATCATTCAGCTGACAGTATATTTTTATATCTTTCCAACTAGGGTCTACTACCTGACTCGTAGACCTTTTTTTTTTTCCAATTGTAGGGAGTCAATGCCGTGCCCCATTCAACTGAGACATTTTTATTCTATTGACTATCCATAAAAATAGCAGTAACAACCTCCAGACATCAAAAGCCCAAGCTTAAGATGATATCTGCTCGCATGCAAAGGGAGCCTCCTTGCGAGAGAAGACAACAGAGAGCAAACGGCGTAGCAAACGGATCCGGCTATAATGCAGAAAGCATAGAGCACAAAGTAAGCGGAGGGGGGAAGAGAGGGGGACAGGGGGGGGGCAGAGCAGGGCGGCGCAAAGAGCATCGACACCATTGCGCTGCCAGGCTCTCAACGCGATGATAAACAATACTGCCGCTCTGTATTGGTACAGTATGCCGCTCTGTATTGGTACAATATGCCGCTCTGTCTTGGTACAGTGTGCCGCTCTGTACTGGTACAGTATCAAGAGTGGCCAGCGCTGGCATTGCATGTCATATCATCTCGCGAGCCTAGCCGCCTAATCATGCCGATGATTCGTTGGCAAGGGGTCGCGTCCGCCTTGCGACAACAAAGAGAGAACAAAAGCCCGAGTGAGAAAGGCTTTGAGCCGCCGTTCTCAGGTCTGAACATTAGGAAAACGAATGACAGATAAGAAGAGGAGAAAAGATCGGGAAACAACAAGTGGAAAAACATAAAAGCATGCAACATACAGAGAAAGAGAGAGCGAAAGACAGGAAGAGAGACTAGGACGGAAACAAAAACGAATAGAGAGAGAGAGAGAGAGCGCAAGAAAAACGAAGAGAGAGAGAGAGAGAGACCGAAAGAAAAACGGAAATAGGAGAAGAAAGCAAGAGAAACAAACAGACAGAGAGAGAAAAAAAAAGGGGAAAAAAACGGAGATAAAAGAGAGAATGAGATACTACCGTCTTCCCCCGAACACAGCGCACCCTAATTTCGGCTGTATGGAACCATAAAGCCTCCTTGTATACATTCGTAATCAGGGTGCGTTGTGTTCGGGGGAAGACGGTAGTGAATGGCAAGGAGCTGGGGTTACAGAGAGCGAAAAAAGAGAGAAAGACGGCAAGAAAGAAAGAGACAGAAAGAGAGAAGACAGAGAACGAGAGATCGAGAGATCGAGAGAAAGGGAGAGAAACAAGGAGCCCCAAAGAGACGGAGGAAAGGACAACGAGAAATAGAAAGTGAGAGGGAAAAGAAGGAGAGAGAGGATGAAGAGATAGATAAGAAAACCTAAGAACTCGACAAAGGAAAGGGACAAAGAGAGGCAAAGAGACAAAGAGAGCGACAGAGACAGACGAGAGAGACGAGAGAGACAGAGAGAAACAGACAAAGATACTTCTCTTGTCCCGCCAGCATATCTCAGAAGTGGTCAGCTCGTGAAGAGGAAAAGAGGAAGGTAGAAATAGAAAGTGACAGGGAAGAAGAGAGAAGGATGAAGAGATAGATAGAAACGCGAGAAACTCAACAAAGGGAGGAACAAAAAGAGACAAAGAGAGACAAAGAGAGACAAAGAGAGACAAAGAGAGACAAAGAGAGACAAAGAGAAAGAGAGACAGACAGAGAGACAGAGAGACACAGAGAGATACTTCTTCCGTCACGCCAGAATATCTCAGAATTGGTCAGCTCGTGAAAAGGAAAAAAGGAGGAAGGTAGAATAGAAAGTTACAGAGAAGAAGAGAGAAGGATGAAGAGATAGGTAGAAACGCGAGAACTCGACAAAGGGAAGAACAAAGAGAGACAAAGAGAGACAAAGAGAGACAAAGAGAGACAGAGAGAGACAGAGATAGACAGAGCGACAGAGAGAGATACTTCTCCTGTCCCGCCAGAATATCTCAGCATTGGTCAGCTCGTGAAGAGGAAAAAAGGATGGTTTTTTTAGGGAGGTGGAAAGATAGGAGAAAAGAAGCGTTTTATGAGTGAGGAGAACCAAAATCAGGCGAAACATTTTGGAGCAACAATAAAATCGAGCTGGGAAAAAAGAATCAAGGATCAGAAAAGGCAAACTACAGATGCACGGCAAGTCAGAAGGGTGCACAGAAACGGTGCAGGGTGGGACAACGATGATGGAAGGGCAGTCGAGAGCAAAGAGGGATCGAATCGGACGAAACAGGTCCGAGATGAATTGATGAACGTGCTATCAGGTATGACCATGCACAGCAGAGAAAGAGAGAGAGAGAGAGAGAGAGAGAGCACAGGAAAGACGAACCAAGAGGGGAATGCATCTCCTAATGTCAGGATTGAAAGAGAGATGGAAAGCGAGAGATGAAGAAACAGCGATGGAGAAAGATGGAGATGCAGAACGAGACATAGACAGAGGCAGGCATAGAGATAGGAGAAAGAGAGAGCGATGGAGAAAGATGGAGATATAGACATAGAGAGAGCGGGAGACTATCATAGAGACAAGAGAAAAAGACGTGGACAAAGGTGGAGACGTAGAGAGAGAGGGGGAGATAGGCATAGAGATAGGAGAAAGAGAAAGAGCGATGGAGAAAGATGGAGATAGAGACATAAAGCGAGCGGAAGACAACCATAGAGAGTAGAAAGAATCAGTGAGAAAGATGGAGATAGAGAAATAGAGAGAGGGGGTGACAGGCATAGAGATAGGAGAGAGACCTGAAGAAAGAGAGCGACGATGGAGAACGATGAAGAAAGACAGAGCCGGAGATAAATGAGAGGGGGGAGAAAGAGATGTGGAGAAAGACGCAGATAGAGACAGAGAGAGGGGGAGATAGAAATAGAGATAGGAGAAAGATACCTGAAAAAGAGACAGCAAAGATGGAGAAAGATGAAGAAAGACATAGAGAGAGAGGCCGCAATCAATGAGAGGGGGGAGAAAGAGATGTGGAGAAAGAAGGAGATAGAGACATAGACAGAGACAGGCATAGAGATCGGAGAAAGAGAAAGAGCGATGGAGAAAGATGGAGATATAGACAGAGAGGGAGACAATCATAGAGACAGGAGAAAGAGTCATGGAGAAAGATGGAAATAGAGACCTAGAGAGAGTACAGGCATAGAGATAGGAGAAAGAGACCCGGGGAGAGAGAAAGAGCGATGAAGAAAGATGGAGATAGAGACAGAGAGACAGGGGGAAACAGATGCATACAGACAGATGAAGAACGCGAGATCGAGAAAACGGAGGGATGGAAAGAGAGAGGGCTGGAGAAAAAGAAAAGGATGGAAAAGGAGACAGAGCGAAAAGAAAAGAGGGAGAAAAATGCAAAAATGAGGCCCGATTGGGATAGAGAAATAGAGAGTGGGAGACAATCATAGAGACAGGAGAAAGAGTCATGGATAAAGATGGACATAGAGACCTAAAGACAGGGGGAGACAGGCATAGAGATAGGAGAAAGAGACCTGGAAAAAGAGAAAGAGCAATGGAGAAAGATTGAAATAGACACCTAGAGACGGGGAGACAGAGGCATACAGAAAGATGAAGAATGAGAGACCGAGAAAAGAGAGGAACGAAAAGAGAGGGATGGAGAAAAAAAGAGGGATGGAGAAAAAGAGAGGGATGGAAAAGGAGATGGGAGAAAGATACGAGAAGGCGGCGCGATTGGGACGCAGGGATGGAAAGCTAGGATGAGAAGCCACGTGTCTGGTTTCTAATCTGGAATTCGTTGCTTTCAAGAATCCCGACACGTGGCAAATAAAGTTGGCACATTATATCCTGAACCGAAATTAGCAAGGAGAGAAAGGACAGCTCCAATCAAAAACTGACGTCCAGATTCAGACACTCATTCCATTCGTCCTTGCCAGTGAGATCTGGCCCTACGTCATGAAAATGTCGCAAACGAGAGACGGAGAGAAGGAATATATCAGTGGTAACCAACAAAAAAAAAAAAAAAGGAATATAGCAGTGCGTTTCTCCACCAATAAGGTGAGCAAGTTTGGGAAGACTTCGGGACAACCAAGAAAAAGAAAGAAGGAAAGAAACACCCATTTAAATAGTATAGTAGGTCTCATAAACCCTCGTACGGCCAGGTTTTAAGTAGAAATCTTGGGAGACGCCTCGATTATTATCGCTGTTTTTCTAGACTGAAAGTTGCCCCAGATGCCGAAAAACAGGTGAGAAAAAGACAAGGGTACGAGAAGACAGGGAGGGCAAGGGTAGGTAGGGGAAGATAGGCGAGGGTCAGGGAAGGCATGACATGACACAGTAGCCCAACTGCTCATACGGAGAAGGGGGAAAAGAGATCAAGAAGGCAATGGCCGATCGTGTATGGTCGGGATATTACCAAAGAGAAAGAGTGTGATAGCTGAAGGAAGCGAGGGGGATGGAAAATGAGTCGTATGGTCGGGATAGAGAGAGAATGAGGTGACACGATCTATCGAGAGAATGAGGCGACACGATCTATCGAGAGAATGAGGCGACACGATCTATCGAGAAATAGAGAGTGGAGAGTACGAGAGAGAGAGAGAGAGAAAGAGAGTGACCGCCGCGAAAGGAAGCGAGGGAGATGGAAAATGAGTCGAGGGAAGGAGAAGACTGACGACGGGGAAGAGAGAGAATGAGGTGACACGGCAAAAAACCTGCCCACAGGCAGAAGGCCCCCCAACAACAATCAAGCATCAAGCAAGGCAATGATGAGGGTCAGCCTTACCTCTGACATACGACATAGATCTGGAACGGGTAAGTATTTGAAAATCGCCGCTTTCAGTTCAGGAGATAAAGAGTCCAGCGTGGAGCGGTAGCAGCGCCTATTGCCCGCCCCGACAATCGGCTCCGCCTCAGAAGCTGACGAGGCTCCCCGTGAGGCAGCCATTACATTCGTTGTCGAATCATCCTCTTCGCTGCCGCATGCATCGCCAGAGGCATTCCTCAGACTGACGCCGCCTTGATTATCCGAAGCCCGCACATGACCCACGTCATCATCTTTCTCTACGGGCCGCCCAGTGGGGGTCCCTCGTCCCAGTCCTCCTCTCCCCACTCCCCCCCCGCTGCCTTCTCTCCCAAGCCTGCTAATTCTGTTCGCTCCTCTGCCATCCCTTCCCTCTCTAGTACTCTGCGTTACTCCTTTCTCCCCTCCTTTCTCCCCTCCTCCTCCTCCCCCCCCTCCACCCACTGACAACACTATGACGTCAGCATCCCGACTGCCACCACCTCCATCCGCGTCACTGCGCGCCGATGCCGACACTTCTGTGGAACGCTCGACGACCGTTCCCCCTAGCCCTTTCTGGTACTTGCTGGAATAGGCGATGGCTGATCGTCCTCCCTCTTCCGCTCCACCCCCCTCCTTCATCACCCCGAAAGCTCTTAGACGGGAAGGGCTACCGGCACTGCGTTTGAACTTCAACGGGGCGGAGGAGGCGGCTGAGTCGATCACAGTCGACAACGCCTCTGTTGACGACATCTGCTGCACAAGAGGGGGCAGCAGTAACAGTGAGCACACCTCCTCCTCGTCCTAGCTCCGCTCTCCCTCCCTCCCTCCCTCTATTTAACTCTCTCCCTCGCTCGCAGTCGTCGTCCTCACTGCTCTCCTCACTCTCTACCTAACTTTGGCTCCTAGAGTCGTCGATTCCAATCAACGACCAGTGTTTGCAGAGAAAGCACAAGAAGCGCCCTCCCTATCCCTCCCCTCCCACCCTTCTCTCCCTCGTCGCCACAGTTTCATCAACTACCCGTCGCCGTTCGCCGCCCCCTCACCTCCACGTTGCGTCACAGTTTCATCACGGACAGTTTACCGGTGGAAATACGAGACTATGACCACTACGTTGTGATCAAAATCTTGTACTTGTGGCACCACGAGCGTCTCCCCTTC